TGAGATTTTTCTATATTAATAATACAAAAATTCGAAAATCTAATTAAAGAACAGAAATAAATTTTATAATTTAAAATAGGTTTTTCCCATAGATTTGGCCTTCCAAATTAAGAATTCAAAAGGATAAATTAAAGCTTTGGATGGCAATAGGATAGATTAGTTGCAATAGATAGATGTTTGGAGTCAGAGCCTTATAGCACTCAGAAGGGATAAAGCTAACCTAAGATAGAAGGTTTAAATGTTACCTTAGCCGCTAAAAAGCCCTTAAAAATTAATAATAATAATAACAGACATGTATTTAACATAATCATAAAGTAAACATATTTACAATCAATTGTACATATTGGTACATAACGATACGAATAATAATAATCTTAAAACTTATTGCTTTACTCTATAATAAACTAAATTAATATAAAAAACGAAGGACGAATGGTAATACTCCTGGCCATCTGGACGGAGTGGTTGCGTTGCTTGATAATAATTCATGAAAAAGTATAGCTATAATAATAAAGTAGCCATGACGTTATGCATGTAATACTAAATTAAAGAAAAGCAAAAAAGAAAGATACGAATAAATAAGATTCTTATAATAGTTAAAGTATGTGACGAGGCCATATCTGTATTGCCACGTTTTCTTGCAATGTTTTACCAGCTATTGCTAACCCGATCTATTTAAAATGTGTTTCAGCTCCTCGAGATGTAGGGTCTTTTTAGATTTTTGTATTGTATGTGTAATCCCATCTGTCGTCCGTTTAGTACCCCATGTTGAAATTTTAATCTTGTTTGTGTTGTTTTTGTTTGAGGTGAATTGCGTAGTTTGAATGTACGTCGTTGTCCCTTGACCTTTGTATATCTTTATTTTTCTTTTCTCTGTCCGGTTATTTTTCTGCCCTTGTTATTTTATATGTGCCGTTTTTGCTTAATGGGTTTGTGTCAATGTTATGCTCAAGAGTTATCCTATTCTTTGTTGTCAGTGCAGTTTTTAGGCCTAAAGCGCTAAATCTATTGTTTACTTTGTACGATTCCCAATCTATTTTTTGAAGTGTCAGTTTATGTGTTTATGACTGTAGATGATGTGTATGTTGTATTTGATGTTGTGTGATATGCTTGTTTTGTCTTTAGTTCTTGTTCGTACTTATCTTTATTTAGTGATGCGTCTTTAGCGTGTTCCTGTATTTGAGTGCTGCCATTTTGTGTGTGTAGTTTGAGTTAAGGCTTGTAATCCTGTCTCTTACTGTTATTTTTCTTTATATAAGTTCAAATGAAGTTTATTGTCAGGTTTTGTAACAGTCAAGCCATGGAAGTTTACACTGTTCTTTTTAGCTTTTTAAGTAAGGAGTTCAGATTTGTTAGTATGACTATATTGTTATTAGGGATAATTCTACTTTGAGGAGTATGTCGAGTTTTGTAAGAATAAATTTGAGAGTATGGCTTAGTAGCGGTTGGTATTTTGTACGCATATATATATATATATATATATATTTTTTTTTTTTTTTACGAGGGTATTTCTACTACGAGGTTATAGGAACCCTCGGGGTGCCGATGTTTTTGAAAAAAAAATGCAGGGCCGCTGGATTCGAACCCGGGACCTTTACCTTACAGTGATGAGCGCCGTGTCAACGCCTAACCGTTGCGGCCACCGACGCCCCTTTTGTACGCATATACGTATTGTTATCATCCGAGTTGTGATAATGTACGTTCAACGTCCTTGTTCACTCTTGTAACTCGACCCAGTTCAAACTATCCCCAAACGCACAGATCCACTCAGCTGTTTTTTTTCGCCCCTTCCGAAAGCGGCACCTGCCATCTCCGATTCGCCAGGGTCGGAATAAGCGAGACGATTTGTACAAAGGAGGCGACCGATGGGAATAGAAGAGCGGTCTCGTATTATGCACGTCTCCCCGTCTCGGTTTCTATCACAACAAACCAAAGCCGACAAAGGTATCAACTTCACGCTCTGACGTTTTGTCGGCATTTTTCTCAATTCAGCCTAAGCGTGTGGAACGCTCAGTCGTGCAATTGTACGTACTCTGTGGACCGTTGTGTGTTCACAGCTCGTACGATTTTTTTATTTGATTAATTAATTTATGTTACACTTGAGCAAAGCAGCAAGTTCCGGGGTCTCCTGTTTTGACTATTGGAAGAAATCTGTATCTTCCATTGTATTCTAAAATCTGCCCACAAGCAAGGTGATGATGATGACGAGGATACTAGGAAGCGGGGTTTGTGCTCCAGAGGCACTGCAGCCTTCTGGCTTATTGTACCTTCCGAGTTCCCTAGTTTAGTGCAGTAGACTCAATCCTTCTTCTTAGAAGTATTATGTCATTGACTGTAGTTGCTACAATTTCATTACCTAGGTTTTTTTTTCTGTATGCTAGATTATGAATCCATTGAGCTGTTGCTACGTATTCGAAGATGATAGTGGCTGTTTCTTCTGCAAATGGGATCTTCATTATGAATCCCATGTTATGCAGATATATTCTCAGATGCCAGTGACTGGTTAATAGTTCTATCATTCCTCTGAGTCTAACCCTCTCCAACTGCAGCATTGCAGAGTTTGCCAGTCTTGGTAAGGGTTGTTTTAAGTTTTACTGCAGGCCACTAGAGTTTATCCACTTTTGTTTTATTTGGACCATTCGTTGATGGAGAATTCTGTATTTGCTTTTGTTATCCAAAGTATAGGTTGGGGTCCTATGGTCTTGCAGATCTTCGTCTGGCCAATGTGTCTGCTTTTCACAAGCAAGGTACTTTTTGGTCGTCTCAGATCATCCTACTCTGCTATCCTTGTGCTTTGGCCTATCAGATGTTTCGACCATTCGCCATCATTATAACATTTTTAGATAATTAGTACCGAAAACACTCCAGTTCCATTACCTTGCATATCTCCGCAAAATATCCCACGATTAATAAATGAGATTAACTTTTGGGGTCTCCGGGGTATGGTATGGTATGGTGGAAAGGATAGAAGGAAGCGGTATTTGTATTCCCCAGGCACTGCAGCCTTTTGGCTTATTGTACCTTCCTAGTTCCTTAGTTCAGTCAATAAACTCAATCCTGCTTCTTAGAAGTATCAGGTCATTGACTGTTGCTGCTGCAATTTGATTCCCTAAGTCTTTTCCGTATGTTAGGTTAAACCTCCATTGAGCTGTTGTTTCGCATTCGAAGATGATATGAGTGGCTGTTTCTTCCTCCTCATTACATAATCTGCAAATGGGATTTATATACCCATGTTGTGTAGATGTTTTCTCAGATGCCAGTGACCGGTTAGTAGTCCTACCACTCCTCTGAGTTTGGCCCTCTACAATTGCAGCAGTGTTTTTGCCAGTCTCGGTGAGGGGGTCTGCGGTTCTTCTCTCTTCATTTTGCTCTCCCTACTTTTTGGTCTGTCAGACGCGTTTCGTTTCAATCTTTAATATTCTTGGTGGATTTTTCAAGCAGGTCTTGGGGAGAAACCAAATCAGCGAAGATAAGCGGATCAAATTAATAGGAGAAGAACGACCAAGCAACAACTTTAGTTAATAGTCAGTACACTTGTTCATTAAAATGGTTTTAGGCCCAAAGCCAAATTTAACAAAATAAACTATTACCAAAACAAACATAATTGTTGGGTTGAAGGATGATTGATCCATCAAAATATTTTTTCTTTGTTTATCGGAAGAATTAAATTAAAAACTTAGATAAAATATAAAAGATTTGTAAAACCCAAGATACTTCATTTTTCGGAGGCTGGGAATATATTTTTTACTTCCAAGAATCGTAGGTTGGGCATGATTTACATTTGAAAACAATAACCTTTGTGAGCGGAACGCTACCTACATAGAAGATATATGTTCCCTATGACAGGAATGATAGTCCATTAAGCATAATTCTATTGTTGGTAAAATGTCGCTTTCGAAAAGAAGAAAATAAAAATTGCTCTCTTAGAAAAAAGTTCGTATTGATAAATGATTTAGAGACGAGTTTGACACTACTTTAGAGGCGTAACATATTTTTAATTATAATCCACTACTGTTTCTCATGATCTTAATTGGGGCTAATTGCTATTTTACAGCGGTTTCAACTTTCTAACGAACGCCGGACGTGATGGTTTGAAGGACAAACAAGACAGTTATGATCCTAATTACCGCATATTTTTTGATAAAAGAAAAATTATATATTAAACTCATTGGTCAAAATTATAATTGTGTTGACAAGAATGGTCGATACTAAAATTTCCGTTGGGGTCTTTCAAATGCTAGGACTTCCCAAAGGGACTTCGTTGGTTAGATATGTCGAGGACCGTTAAGCACAGAAGGGGGGAAAGACCTTTTTGGAAGATAAGGTCACAAAACATAAACCCCTTAATGTAATTCGTCCCGTATACTATTACACACTTTAAATAACATTTTATAAAAAAAATATATATATTAAAGAAATCCTTTAAATAAAAAAATAATAATAGGACGCATTGAAAACAGGTTTGTAAAAGGAACAATAGCTGGAATTCCAATTACTTTACAGTTAGGTAATTGTAGAAGACATCCATTTAATAATTATCACATACTAATTTAATTTAAAAAACATTTGATTAATTAAGTTAAGTATTAACTTGGAATGAAGAAGTTTATACTTTTGAAACGTTAGACGCCACCAGTTTATGAGGCTATTCATCAACCATCAACGGAATTTTAATTATTCGATTTCTCATCGATCGTCTCTTTGCCGTTGACAAATTGGCATAAATCTTTTTGTTTTAAGCCCCGAAAGGTAGTGTGACATGTTTACGAAAATATCAAGTAACGGCTTCTCGGACCACGTCGTTGGATTATCTGGCTCCCATTTCAATGCCGTAAAAAACGAGCGTAAATCGTAAAACTCCTGCCACTAAGGATGCGTATCCGTGGCTTGACGGTTTTTTTGTTTCTGTGTTGTGTTGTGTGTGTGTATGTGTGCGTGTGCGCACCTCTTACCCAGTTCAAGTATTTAATCGGATTATTTCTGTTTTTTTTCTCTTCCAGGGAGGCAGATAGCGTGGACCACCGAGATGGTTCATTATGAGCAGACATGGACCATTCCCTATAGCACACCCTTCAACAAGGTAATATATAATAAAAACGCATAAAAAATTAAATCCTTCAATATGATATATATAAGTATTCAATTATCTTAATAGACTGCCCAATAAGAAAATAAAATTTTCAAAAGCATACAAGAATTGTTGTATAGTTTTTATCTCAGTCCAGATTAACTGGATCATTTTATTTATTTATTTATTTTTTTTGTTAAAGGAATTTCAGGATTTTTCATACAATATTCCATTTTTTTTGCATACTTTGTCAAAATGCCCAATAAGTTGGATCTTTTTCTATAATCTACCTATTCTAAAATAATTTTCTCTAGTGATTCCTGAGCAAAAGTCCCAACGGACTCAGAAAAAAAGAAAATTTTATTGTTGATAAAAAGGTCTATTTTAACTTTTCTTTTGTTATATTCTCTTTTGCTATCCTTCTTATAAATAATGTCGTGCCTCAACAGTTTATTTTAATTTAAAATATTAGGTATGATGCTATGTAGAATTTAACGTAATTTCCGGGAAAGGCATACGTCAAATTTGTTTTCCCTGGCAAATGAACGTCTATCAGAAACATTTCTATATTTTCCGACTTACTGATCGTCAGATTTGAATCAAAGTTGATCTATTTATTGAATTTTTCCACATTGATTTATTGATGGATCGATTTATGCATCAACCCAAAGAGCAAGAACGTTACTCAACTCATTTCTGTAAATTAATCAAATTTAACCAAATTATTGATCTGTTGTATCTTTGCGTGTATATATATAAAACGAAATTCACAAACTCCTGAGACCAAAAAAACCCGTTTCTGTACTCGTCTTTCTCAATTAATAAATTTTCATCGAATTTGACATAATTATTAACTTCACTAGTTTTCGTGGTCCGCTTGACCAATTAATATCTTTTAATTAATTAAGGTTTTTAGTTGAGATAAAAAAGTCAGTGTCACGAGCGGGATTCGAACCCACGACTTTCGGCTTAGGTACGCCGCTACTCTACCACTTGAGCTATCGTGACTTCAATCCACTCGGACTCTAACTTCCCATCTCAACCCAGCCAAAGGTTCGAATTCCGCTCGTGACACTGACTTTTTTATCTCAACTAAAAACCTTAATTAACTGAAATTATTAACTGTTGAATCTTGATTTATACATTTATCAAAATTCAGCATAATTAGATTTCAATGGTTTAACACCAGGAATAGGAATATGTTTTTGTGAGGAGCCCACAAAACACATTTCTGTTTTCTTTGACACAAATTATTCTAATATATTTTAATAAATTTTATAGAATTATAGAACAGTTACATCTTGATTTATGTATTAAACCAAATTTATCTTAATGTCACACTAATTCATCAATATATTTCAATCAAACTTCACACAATTATTGACCTTTTGAATCTTGATTTATCCTCAAAGACAAAAACCGGAAACACGTATTTTGTACAAACTATTTAATTACGATGTTTGAAAGAAAATTTAACAAAATACCGGAAAATCCTTTAGTGATAGATTAAAATTTAGCGAACAATTTTTTTTACCTGGTTTTGCTCTTAATGCGATATTATTTTGTAGAAGTTGATGATAAATATTGATCCCCTAAATGACCCAGCTGCTGTAATATAGTAATATAAATTAATTTTGTCCTTATTTAGTAAATCTACTTAAACGTTATGCCGATTAGTTTAAAATTTTGTAGTTTAATCATCCTTATGCTGGAAAATTTAATGTATTGTTGGAAAGCCGAAGTATTTCTGCTTGTTAGTTTTTCTGGAAGATTGAACAAATTTTTCATATATTGAAAACCTATAAAGTTCTAAAATAATGAACAAATTGTTGCTCCACTGCTCGGTGATTCCCTCTATGATCTATGGTTATCTAGGTCCGTTATAAAAAAAATCTTCCACAGGCTTAGTGCATGCAAAAATAAAGAAACTGAAAATTTGACGGAATAAAGAAAAGAAGGAAATGGAAATTGGGTTGGGTAGTCAGGAAAGATGTACAACCGAGTTGTCTATCTAAACCGAAAAAAGAGAATGTCTGGGGGAAATGTGGAAAGAAGAAGAAACAATAATAGTAAAGAGAAATCTTTAAAAACTGTAAAAAATTGATGAATTAATTGAAATAAACTTACTGGAAAAAGACTTCGGGTTGAATCTAGAAGCGTTCATAATTATCCTGGTACAATCCAGGACTCGAGAAGGGAATCGTAGCCTGAAAGGGAATGTACTAAGTGGGTGATTATAAACAAACATTGTAGGTCTGCCGTCACGCCCATCCTCCGTCTGGTCGAGAAATTCCCCTTGGTTGAAAAGAGGAAGAGAATCGAGAATTTAACACAAGTAGAAAATTTGTATAAACTATGAGCAATGCAATGTAAAAAATCATATTTTGAAAGTAGAGAGGCTGGGCGGATCAGGGATGATCAAACCAATGACAGTTCAAAAACCCGCGGATTTTAGATTACGTAACTTAAGTCTATGAAATTTGATTAAATGTAAAATCAAACAGTGCCGGACTCAAACTATCCCTTGTGAAACATCCCAATTGATTGCACTTAACCAAGAGAATAGATTGAATGCGAGTTGTTATTGTTTATTAAATGTTTGCTTATTTAAATAATTGAACGATGTATAATTAATGTAATCCGTTAATAAATAAATGGACAATGTCAGTATCGACGAAAAGTCTAACAGTTTAATTAAAAAGTCAAATTATTGAACAATATTGAAAAATGTGCATTTTATTGGGAGGTACTTAAACGTATTAAAAAATATAAAATCAATTTTTGTTGAACAAATTAAGTTGAAATTTGATCGTCTGGTCGAGAAAATCCCCTTGTTTGAAAGGAGGAAGAGAATCTAGAATTTAACACAAGTAGAAAATTTGTATAAACTATAAGCAAGGCAATGTAAACAATTCAGGTTTGGTCTGCTTATCCTCGCTGGGTTGTCTGCCAGTTTCGTCCTTCTTCAGTATTGCACCTGCCCAAGAATAATAAAACCTAGAGATTGAACCTGAAATGCAAGTGATTTTGTTCATGTGGTGGGGTTTAGTCATTCTGGTACCTGGATCATATCTTTATAGGTCAGCGTTATAAATAGGATGCAACCAAGAATGCTCCCTTGGGGGACGCCGGCTTGGATCGGTCAGGCCTCTGAACACTCATTGCCGAGAATCTTTGAAGATCTTTGAATCATCTTTGAAGCATCTTTCTTTTAGATAGGGTTTTAGGACTGGGTAATGAGTGGGCAGGAAGCTGTTTTAGATTGAAGAAAACTCAAGGTTGCCAGACCTGACAAAATCAATCGAACAAACTCGAGAAAGTACTCTCTGTTTTCCAGAGCAGAAGAGGCGGTGACACAACCCTGAAGCATTGCTGAATCGTAGAATAGAAATGGAATTGATGAGAAGGAATGGTTTTTTGTAAATCTAGGATGGGTTTTAGGAGTTTTAAAAGGAATCTTTCAAGGATTTGGACATACTGGGAGAAGGCTTATAAAGTACGCTTTTTCCATAGAAAATGAACTTTTCCGAACACATTGCCTAGTCAATAATATTAATAAAAATATGACTTATAAATTCTTATAATACGAAAGAAGATCAGTCCGAAATATTACATTTCGCGTCGTGCATTTGTACGTTGTTTTTATTTTATTGTTTTATCCTTTGAGAGACGTCAACCGTCTATTGATTAAGTGTTGTTTCTGTTTATCCCCTTCGAATTAGGAATTTTCCCCGGTGGTCCGAATCAGATCACCATGATAACCTAGGTATTAAGTAATTTATTTATGGCTCTCTGTGTTGGTTCATTTTATATTCAATAATTCCGGACTGGTAAATTATACGCCTTATGAAGGGTGGTATGGAAAAGTAGTAGATAATTGGCCAAAGAACTACCTGGAGGAAAGCCGGCGGAGTTCTCAATTACTCAATTCCATTACGGAATTTGTTTTACCTAGTAATACTCTTTTCAACATCGTTATAGGACATAATTTTTCGAGGGTTAACAAGTTATTTTGTTTCTTTTAAAAGTTTGTTATTAACTGTTATTTTCCTCTTGTACCATGCCATATTTTGAACTTTGTCCTGTTTCAAACATGTCAGACAGTTTTAGCGAATATGTATTTAAAAGCAAGAAATCTAAACTAGAGACTGTTTGTATTTCTATGACTATTCATTAGTCGAGACGGTGGATGATAGCGATTGTTCAAAGATGAGACAAATATAATCGTGACAATCAGTTTTGGCAAACTTCAAAGGATGTGTAAATATATTCTTGGATGAAAGTGATTATGGTTAAGATAAAAGGAAAAAATGAAGTAAATTATATTCGTTGGTAAGAAAACTCTTCAGGCAGTTAATACGACAGTTGGGATTTATATTTCAAATAACTTAATTTTCAAATAATTTATCATAAAGACGATACCTATTCTTTGGTCTGGTGTTATTTTGACCTATCTGTCTGGTTTGTCTATCTTTCTCTGTTCTGTTTGTCTGTATACCTGTCTTCTCTGACTGTTTATCCTCTCTTTCTTTCTCTCTCTGGCTATTTTCATTATTAATTGATATTATCCAAACAAAACGAAACCTATTCGTCATATAATAAATGTATGTAAAATTTTCGTTATTTACACGAGTGACTGATAAAGTTGCAAAATAAACAACACAAGATTCATGGTGATTCATAGTCCAGTTTTTGTTTGCTTGATGTGTATCATTCCTTTAAAAAACAATCTCACTCCGTCTTGATAATCAGATAATAAAAATTCAAACTGGGTTTAAAAATTTGAACGCAATTCGAACTGTTTTCAAAGTATTTTTAACACTTTCATGTGTTGGTGAATTTCCTCTTGTAATTCCTCCCTTGCTGACATTAAGTTATTATTTATATTAATTGAAATTGTAAATCAGAATTGTCTAAATCAGAGCAGTTAGACGTCCTTATCATCATTGTCCGTCTGTACTCGTTTCGCCAGGCTGGACCGACGCACAAAAAGGTCAAATTGACTCTTATTGTGCGATCATCAAAGATCCAATGACATTGTTTAACTAATCGCGATTCTCTCCTTTGTCGAAATCGTCAAAAGGGACTGGGGACGATTATCAAGAAGATGAATTAAGCCAGTAAAGAAAATCGTCTTATCAGAATACTTTATAACTTCAATTATTATATTAGTTTTAATACTAACAGGTGGACAAAGGGAATCAAACTTAAGATTTTTCGTTATAGTGCAGACCATTCCTTAGTTTCTTATCGTTTTATTTTACCTATTCGCGCTATTTGGGCCTGTCAGACTCGTTTCGGCTTCTCGCCAACTTCAGAACTAGTTGGGTTCCGTTCTAACTTGTCTAAACAAATAATTAAGATATATAAATCTAAATGATAGGAAACCACAGCCAAACTACAATTATTTGTAAAAAAATCCTCATTCTCTGAAAAAAATAAAACGCGCAAATATTTTAAATTGAGTTATGTAATTTGATTCGACAATTTAATTCCTCCAACACCCCAAGCCCAAAGAAAACACAAAGAAAAAACATATTTTTTGGTTACTCATTCTTTCAAGATAATAATGCTTCTTTCGACTACCAAAGTACACGTTCACACACTCCAAATTCCAAGGGTAACTTTTTAATAACTTTTAACCTTTTTTATTATTTTTATTAACTTTTATTACTTTTACCTAAGAAAACATATCCAAATTAAAATTCAAACTGCTTCATTTCACTAATTTAATAAACAAATTGTTTTAGAAACCCATGGAGCGGGCAGCCCTGTTCAGAATCTGTATCGAGTTCTGCCAGCAGTCAGACATACCATGTCATACCACCAAATCAGTATGTTCAGGTAATTGACAAAAACCCGCTTTTTGTAGTTATTTAATTTTAATAACGCATTGTTTTAAATGATTTTTTTTAAAAGATGGAACCGTACTGGGAGGAAGGGGGACCATACGTTATGGGCCAGTCCGTCCGCCACCCGCAAGAAGCCCTGTTGCCACAGCCGGGGGTGGCGACGTCGATAGCCCCAACTGGTGTTTACCTCATGCCGAAACAAAATGTTCCCAGGCACCACTTCAGCGTTGCCTCAGAAAGTAGGTCTTACAATTTGATTATTTTAATGATTTATTTTTAAAATTTATTTTTATTTCTGAAGGCGTAGGAGAACGACGATCCCGCCCAGATTCTTCGCGCGCGATCACACCAACCAGCGGCCACGGTGGTGGGACGACGGAAACTGCGGTCCTTCCCTGCGGCGGTCATTGTGTAGCTCTAGAAACATTTTGCCACCACTTCCTCCAAGTAATTTGTCTTCTTTTGTTGAAGCATCATAACATAAGATTAGCCTCGCTTTTCTTCCTTTGTCCTAGACTATTGTTAATTAATAGGCCATTCTGAAACTATACAGTGATTAACATGTTATGAACGGTTTTATCCTCTAGGTTGGATTTGTGGCTGGAATTCTGACGGGCATCTGTTTAGTCGTTGCCGGAATGGTGTTAGGTGGAAGTCGGAACGGTGATTTAGGGGTCCTCACCTACATCGGCGTCCTGACGTCGCTCGTCTCCGCTCTTCTTCTGTCCATACAGTGCTGTTCGAAAACGAGGCCGAGGCAGCGGAGGCACCGCCCGGTGCGCGAGGAGATACCGATGAGGGATCTGCCACCACTCCAGCCTTTACTAACCAAAATAGTACACCAGCAGATTTCACACGACCAGCATCAGTTCAGGTAATTGAAGAACTAACTCAAGACCCGATTCGGTTCCGTTCCCATTTACTTAAACCCGAGGCCTGACATTAGCATAACTTCGTTCATTATTTGCATGATGGAGAGATAAAGATTTTCCATCACTGCGTGGTGATTACAGGGCGGCCCTGTATTTAAATTTGACGAGATGTTTATTATCCTGCATCCGGTTTTGCCATGAGCTCGTCACTTATGGAGGAAATAAAAAAATGCCTGCTTGTATTCAGGGAAGCTTCAATGAAATTCGACGCTATATAAATTTTCTGATGTATAAGAATCGTTTATACTGGCATTAGGAAAGTTTTAAGTAATGCTTCTGGAGAGTTTCATAAAGTTTTACCTGATGTTTCATCCTTAAAAGTTAAGGTAAAATGTTACATAACGTTTTAATAGATTTTACAAAATTTCAAAATAATTAAATATGGTATATAAATAATATTGAGAATCACTTTGAAATTGAAGCATTTTTACAGATCTACCACATCATTAAAAAAGTCTGCATGGAATAAAACACAACTAAATACAAATATGTATTCTTGTTAGGGTCTTTAGTTTTTAAAAATCTATAAAAAATTATTAAAATGTATCAATTAACTAATTTATTGTTCATTTAAGTTTTACTCCAAAAGTCTTGTTCATATTAATTGCTTCGAGAAATTCCAAAGAAAAATTGCGATTTATTAGCTAACAGGATTATTGAAGGTCAATGGGCACTTTAATATGGTGGTGGCCATTTTGTAAAGACATTTCAATGTTGGGAAGAACACCCTGCCATATAAGTTTCGAATAAATTGTCTTTCAGTAATTAATGAGGCTGATTTAGTAATAATTTTAAGCCAGGATTCTTATGTCACCGATTGCTTAAAGTCACTATTGACTTTCCTTTTTTGATTAACCGGAAGGTTTTAACCATCCCCTTTTAACCACCTCTATATTAGTTTGTCGATCCGCGGTTTAATGCTCCTGAATTGAACGAAATTCTTTCAAGTGATAAAAACCGGATATTTAAAAAAATCCAAACGCCCAAGGCCAATTCGTTTGGTCAGTGTGCCAAAATTCAATTTTAGAGGAACTTCTCTTTTTCACTTTCAATTTGTCCCTCATGGGGTTTTAAGAGCGAAATTACTTTTCATCAGATACATTGCAGTGTCACAAATTCATGCACTTTCGATTCCAATCGCCTCGCCCTGCTTATCTGACGGTTGTAACGTGTACATCCAATGTAACCAGAAGTTCACAAAGATCGGTTATGAGAAATATCTGGAAATTCGTTCGAGATGGTACCGCTAAAGACATTAAATACGATTTTATATTAAAAATCTGGTATTCGGTTAATTTAAAAGCAGCAAGAGTTACTTTGTGGAGCTTTCGAGTTCTTCACCAGGATTTTTTTAACCTGCTAATAATAATTTACAGGGATAAGAAAATCTATTTACTATATTGAAACTTACTTCATAAATATGAAATTAATAATTTAATTTACTGAGTACGAGATCTAACACTTGTTCATTGTTAAATCAGAAAAACAACCACCATCCGGTTATACGATACAGTGTAGCCAATATCCTAAATTTATCGTAGTAATGTAAGCAATAAAATAATAAATTGTCAACACTGCACCACTATCGACAATCATAATTGTAATACCGATATATTGCAATGGAATTGTAAGTGCAATACTTAGATTAACCGAGTAAAAGTTGGCGACATGATGATCTTTCACTTCGAGTTCGACTACTTAGCGTCTTACATCGACCTACTTATAATCTTTCCATCACCCCACCGTACCTGAGGAAGACCCCATACCGGCGGACAAATGCTTTAATCTAATCGAATTTATAAATTTAAGCTAATTCAAAAATGAGATAAAATTATCTCCCAACGATCTTTCCTTGAGGCGAGACCGCTAGTCGGTTTTCGAGGTAACAATATTTTAATTTTAAAACCTAAAACGAAAGGTCTTCCCATGCTGGCCCCCTTGCACACTTACATTTTCGTGATTTTCTTTTCTATATATTTATGTTATGTAAAATTTTCTAGCTAAGAAGAGGAAAACAGCCCGGAACCCTAAACCTATGTTTAATTATGCAATAAATAAATAACGGCAGTAAAACTCTTAACAATAACAACAACACTATTTGAGACTTAGTAAGCAGAATAAAGTACTTGCTCATTTAAGCGTAGTTAAGGCAAAATCTATTAGTGGTGCAAATGATTTGGTTTAAATGGTTTGGTATCACAGACTAGTTTATGGAGATTAGTCGGCCATTCTGCTGAGGTGAGATCACACTTCTCTTTCTGCATGGAATTTGGTACAGCTGAAGAGTTTATGTACGGCGTCTTCTTCAGTGCTGCAAACGTGGCATAAAGAGCTGTCTCTTTTCTTAAATGTATGGAGATAGCTTGCGAAATGTCCATGTCCTGATAGCATTTGGGTGGTTCAGTAGTCGGGGTGTAGCCATTTTGCTTTTTTTCTCTTTCCAACGTTGGGGAAAAAGTTGAATGCCGGCCGACCCTTATTGCTGTTTGTCCATCTTTCTTGCCATGTAGCCCCTTGTCTTCTTTCCCAAGTACTATTTCGCCTCCTTTCCAGTTGCGCTTCGGAACCAGTCTATTTCTCCTTGGCTTGCTCCTCAATTGTCTCACTTTTTTTTGGTGGATGACCTACTACCTAAAAATTTAAATTTTGGTATGTCAGTCAAGACCTGCTTATAACCCTCACGTTACGTGAATTATGAGAAATTAAGAATATCTAAGAAAATTAATGCTAAAAAAACTATATGTAAAAGTGGCAGAAAGGAGTTTTTACATAACTTCACTAATTTCGTGGTCCGCTTGACCAATTAATATATTACAATTAATTAAGGTTTTTAGTTGAGATAAAAAAGTTAATGGCACGAGCGGGATTCGAACCCACGATCTTCGGCTTGATACGCCGCTGCTCTACCACTTGAGCTATCGTGACCTCGATCCACTCGGACAGCTTTTGAATTTTCCCTCCTTTTTGCCATTTTTCAATGGCACCACTAAAGCTCTCCGTGGCCATTTCATTTGTCGTCGAGAATCAAATAGATTACAGGACATTTGAAAAATGGCAAAAAGGAGGGAAAATTCAAAAGGTGGGGTTGAGATAGGAAGTTGGTATCCGAGTGGATCGAGGTCACGATAGCTCAAGTGGTAGAGCAGCGGCGTATCAAGCCGAAGATCGTGGGTTCGAATCCCGCTCGTGCCTTGACTTTTTTATCTCAACTAAAAACCTTAATTAATTGTAATATTTTTACATAACTTTGATCAACAGGCATGTGAAATTTGATAAAATTCTGCCATCTGACGTCTTTAACGAATGATTAAGTTATTGGAATTTTTACTTATTTCAGGTTATATATTTTAGATATGTGTCTCTAAAAGTAGATACATTTCAGATGTTCAAAACGCTAGTTTTAACTTACCTGAACCTATCAATATGTTAATCTTGTACAATTTTATAACAGTCAGCCTAATAAGTATTTGTATTAATTAATAATTATATATATTTTCTTTTTATCTTTGAATAACTGTCTCTATATAAAGGATATATTTGTCATTTTAAATGATTCGTGAGGATGTGACAAAGTTAAAGAGGGAAATGGAACTCGGTAGAAGAAGTGAAAGAAAAAGTTTGGTATGTCTGTCAAACACCGTGTGGTCTGTGATCCAACATGTGATAAATAAGAAATTCTTCTAGAGGACGGAGACTCCTAATTATGACAATTACCACATCCTCGTCACCACTTATCTCCATCTTAACTCTAACTCCTCGAAGTCCGGCGAGAATCGAGTTAGAAAGCGTGCACCCTTTTGATCGACTGGAATAAAACGTTAATTCATTGTTTGCCTTGTTGAAATAATTTATTTGACCAATGACTTTGCGTTTTATTTGTCTTTTTTGGCGCTGTCAAGCAACTTGACAGCCGTTGTGCGGCCCTTAATAAAACATAAAGAATAATTTACAATCGTTCATAATGTATTCAGGTCAACAGGCGTTAATATTTTCATTGTAAAAAAAAGATCTTTTTTTATTTGTAATAGTTGAGGTGGGAGGTTGGTGTCCGAGTGAATCGAAGTCACGATAGCTCAAGTGGTTAGAGCAGCGTAGCCGAAGGTCGTGGGTTCGAATCCCGTTCGTGACACTGACATTTTTATCTCAAACCAACACCTTTCATAAATATTAATTAATTGAAAAATGTTAATGTTTACTTTAGACTAGAGCCTAAATGTTAGTGTTTACTTTAGACTAGAGACTAAATGTTAATGGTGTGTTAACAAGTGGTACATTTTTATCTCAACCAACACCTTACAACCTTACATAAAGATTTATTAATTAAAAGATTTATTTGGTCAATCGGACCACGAAATCTAACGAATTTTTAATAATGTTAATACGGTCAATGAAGGATGTAAAACGTGATTAATATTCCTAAATCGAAAGCCTGAAATCCCTAAGGTTTTTGTAAAACTTATACACACGTATGTTAATGCAAGAGGAGTTGGAAAGAGGTCCGTGCTTGGGTAAAAGTCGGTCGTGGGCTTAAAGAGATGGAAGCCACTTAAGAAAAAGGAGAGATAAAAGGTGGGAGAGGGCGTACTGAGAAGAGGAGGAGAGTGAGGAAAGAGGAGGAAGAACCGGTTCAGTAACAACTAACAAGGTGATGATGTACTCACAAGTCACAAACCTTCGGAACTTGATCCGAGTTAAATCCCTAAACAACTGCCGCTGTGGTCAATTTTGAAAGAAACCTTTGAGCTCAGCGCGTCGACTTTTGTTCTCCAAATTAAAAACATTATAGTGGACAGGGTTTTTTTTTGTTTTATACCAAAAATGCCAGGGTTCATGTCCTGGCAAAAATCCCATTAAACAAGCACGATCTCATGAAAGAAAACAACATAAAAATAATAATTGTGCTAGATTATACACGGTCGCCAGTAGTCACGCAAGAACGATT